AAAATATAGCAATCAAGCTTATCATTAGATTAACATTAATTTTGTTTTTTAAATAGACAAACATTTTGGAATTGCAATTGACCTGGAATATTTTTTGAATAGGCCCATTATATTTGGAGATTTTATTAAGGCAAGTATGCTGTATTGACTGAATTTTAACATTTTAAAGCATTTACTATTGTCCAATTTAGGTTCGAATTCTATTAGAACTCTACACTTGTAAAGATTAAAGATCTAGACCAGAGGTCAGCAAATTATGGCCCATGGGCCAAATCCCCCCACTTTCTGTTTTTACAAATAAAACTTTATTGGCTCAGAGCCACACCCATTCCCATTAGTTTGTCACTCTATATGGCTGTTTTTAGACTACAATATCAGAGTGGAGTCATCACAATAGAGACCGACCATATGACCCACAAAGCCTGAAATATTTACTATCTGGCCATTTACAGAAAATATTTGCTGACCTCTGATCTAATTACTTATGTTTTCATTATAGTTTGAATCAGAGACCAGTTGGGCATTTGATTTGGAAAGAAGCAAAGAGGTTTAGTCTCTTGACTCAGGACAAGAATCCCCTTATTGCACTCTATGTACCTGTTCAGCTTCTGCCCAAGCACGTCTAGTGATAAAAAGCTACTTAGTAGAGCTTCCCTCATTTCAAGGTAGCTTTAATTAGTAGCAAATTTTTCCCTATGTTAAATCTCTCAAGTCTGTCCCACCAATAACTTTTAGACTTGAGTCCTAATTTTACCCTCTGAACCTGCCTAGAGTGACTCTTCAGTCTAAGCAACTTGTCTGTGCTGACAGATCACCATCGTGTTTTACCAAGTTGACTCTGATTTTTTAAAACATTTTCAGTTCTCCAGGAGAGGTGTGCCATGTGTGTTTTGTTCACACTATATCCCCAGCTTCATCCACAGAGCTAGGTACATAGCAGGCTGTCAATCAATGCTGATTGAACAAATGAATGAGTTCATCTTTATATGTATGTGATACCTTACCACTTCTCTAGAATATTCTTATTGTGTGCTGTTTTCAACTCAAAGTGACCACAGAGAACAGAGTTGAACTGCCCCATAGGATTTTCTAGATTGTAATCTTTAAAGAGGATCATCTTTCTTTGGAATTGGCACAAATATGGATCTTTTCCAGTTGGTTGCCCTGGTAGCTATCTCCCAAATTTCTTTGCATAGGCAAGTGAGAACTTCCAGTGTTGCATCCATTTGTTGAAACATCTCAACTGGTGTTCTGTAAATTTCTGGAGCCTTGTTTTTTGCCAATGCCTTCAATACAGTTTGGACTTCTTCCTTCATACCATCAGTTCCTTCAGTACCGTTAAATATACATTGGACAGCCAGAAGAACAAAGAAATCTATCTTGGAAGAAGTGCAGCCAGAATGCTTCTTAGAAGTGAGAATGGCAAGACTTTGTCTTACATACTTTGGACATGTTATCAGAAGGGACCATTCCCTGGAGAAGGATGTCATGCTTGGTAAAGAGATGGATTAACACAGTAGCTGCAACAATGGGCTCAAATGTAGAAATTGTTGTGAAGATGGTGTAGGACCTGGCAGTGTTTTGTTCTGTTGTACACAGAGGCTCACTATGTGTTGGAACCAACTCAATGGCACCTAACAGCAACAACAGTCTTTAAGGGAGCAGATCACCAGGTCTTTTTTCCCACAAAACAACTGGTGCGTCTAACCACCAACTTTTTGGTTTACAACTGAGTGCTTAACCATCATGCCACCAGGACTCCTAGATACATAATTTACTTGTGTGAAGGTTTGTTTTCAGGTAGAGATTACAGTGTCTATATGTTTCTAGTGATATTATTATCAAACGGGGAAATAAATCAAAGAAAAAAAAACACCTGGACTCTTCTTGTGTGACCTCTATATATTCTAGTCAGGTGAAAATGCACCCTGGGCTGTTGCTAGAGCAGAGAAAAGCCATCATTAATAAGTTCAACTAGTACTACTAAACAAACAAACAAACAAAACACAACCAAACCCACTGCCGTCGTGTTGATTCTGACTCACAGAGAACCCCACTGGGTTTCCAGAGCTATAAAGTTTTATGAAAATAGATTACCCCATCTTCCTTCCATGGAGTGGCTGGTGCGTTTGAACCGCCAACCTTCTGTTTAGCAGTCAAATGCCTTAGGCACTATGCCACCAGAGCTCCTACTACTAGTAGTAGTATTAGTTGCTATAGCATTGCATCCAACTTATGGTAACCTCTTGTGCATCAGATTATAACTGTGTTAAATAGGGTTTTCGGTGACTGATTTTTCAGAAGTAGATCACCAGACCTTTCTTCTGAGGCACCTCTGGGTAGACATGAACAGCCAACTTTGTCATGAGCCTCTGAGCCTTAAACATTTGTACCACCCAGGGACTCCAGTAAGGTCAAACAGGGTCTCCATTCCCTATAACCTACAACTCAGATTTCATTCTCCACAATTTATTTACCCCAAGATGACTGCTGTGCAAAAACCACATATAATTATGGTGTGATTTGTTATAACCCTAGCAGTTTACCATGAGTAATTTTCAGCCCATTTAACTGCTGTGATGTCAGTGGTCTTAGAACAAAGGTATGAAACCAGAGTAACATATAAGTGAAAAACCTTCCAAGATCCTGTGTGAATTTTATTGCAGAGATCATTGAAAATTCAATGTACCACTTCAATAGTTAAGTTAAATGAACTTTCCAGTTATCAGTGGAAATCTGATTTTCTTTAGTCCTATTTCCTTGATTTTAAAGCCCTGCTGGCATATATATAAGCAAATGATTTAACTAGCAACACAGATGAAATGTTATGTATGTTATGTACTACAGAACTTTATTATGTATTTATATATGTTATGTATTTATATATCAGAATTGATCCAACTTGGTTTTCTCTCACAAATAATCTTACAGTTTGGAGCAGACAGGGGTGATCGAATTTATGATGATATGCCTGATATGGAGAAAATTGCAAATGTTCTACAGGACTATCTTGATGACTATAACCTCACAAATCCCAAAGAAGTAAAGTTGGTGTTCTTTCAGGATGCTATAGAACATGTTTCAAGGTATAGTGCTATAAGGTGCTCAGTAATGCATTGATCTAATTTCTTTTTGGTTTAAAAGATAAGAATTTAATTATATAAAATTCTTTAAATTGATTGCTAGAGAGTCAAAGGTCTATTAGTGTATCTCACTGTAATTTAAAAGTTTTAAAAATAGATTTTAAATACACATGGCTTGAACTTTCTTTGGAATCCCAAGGGTTATTGTTTTTGCTAAATATTAATAGATTTTTTTTATTGTTTTTATGTGTCCTATCTTACAACCCGGGAGCTCTGGTAGCATAGTGGCTAAGACACTTGCCTGCTAACCAGACGGCTGGCGGTTCAAACCCGCCAGCCACTCCTCGGAAGGAAGGTTGGGCAATCCTACTTCCGTAGTGATACTGCCTCGAAAACCCAAGGAGGGGTCGCTATGAGTCGGGGCCAACTCGACGGCACATAATCTTACTACAAAAAGATCTGAGGTGGTTTACAAAGAGTTTTACACAGAATACCAGGACTAATTCGATGTATGCCCAAACAGGGGTTTCAAGATTACAGTGAAACAAATTGAATCCAACCATTGTAGATTTCATTTGTTTTATAAGCCTAACTCTTTTCCATTGCAAGAATTCTCTGAGGGACATGCCTAACACATGGGCACCAGCCCCTCATGACAGAGCTTACGTGTGGAAAATGTTAGCAATGCTTTTTTCTCTCTTCAGTGACAATGACCATATTTTACTTTCCTAATAAAATCAATCAATAAAGTAATTATCATCTTTAAATATTTGGACTTTGTTTTCTCCAGTTACCAGCATCATAAATAAAATTAGATAGATAGATAGACAGATAGATGCTTATGGTAAAACAAAATGAGAAATGAGCTTCCTTGAACATTTCTCCCATGATTTCCTATTTTGTATTGACCCAATCTGAATTTATGAACAATGCTAATGATGAAAAAGAAGCTCGGGTGGCTCAGTGCCTAAGGCATTTGAATGCTAACCAGAAGGTTGGCAGTTCAAACTCACCAGCCACTCCGTGGAAGGAAGACTGGGCAATCTACTTCCATAAAGATTTACCACCTCAGAAACCCAAAGGGGGTTGCTGCGAGTCAGAATCAATTTGATGGCAGTGAGTTTGGTTTGGTTTTTGGTAATGATGAAAAGAAGAAGAAATTACTGCTTTTACATTATGTATCTTATTTCAACAAAGTTTATCAACAGTATCATTACTAATTTATCATCTAAAAACAATATATGGACTTGACTCTCATATGTAATGTTCATTTATACTGATACCCCTTCTGACTTCTTGGATTTTTTAAAATTTTATTCATCTTTATGTATATCTTTGAAGAACCTTTTTAGGAAGAGTTTGTGGATGGTGTACTTTTTGAACAATTACATGATACTTTTTCCTCTCTAAATCATTGTCTTGTGGAATATTATAGAGTTTATGTTTGAGGCCAGCCTACAAGTACTTATTCCTTTGTGGGAAGTACTCTTTTACTTCTGCCTTAGATACTTAAAAAAATTTTCAGTTATGTCTAAAATACATTCTATATACATATACACTTAAATATTTATATATTTATATTTTCTCTTAGAAAATAATTAGTGTTTTTCCTCTCCTCTTTGATTTTCTTTCCTGACCCTCAGTGGCTTCTTTGGATCTGTGGGCTCAGCTCCATGAGTTTCTTGTATTATTTCAGTCACTGTTGCTTCAGTTCTGTTCTATTGTTTCTCCTGCTACAGTTCCATTATGTTGCTTTTGAGATCCCATTTGTTTCTCCTAGATTTGTTCTCTTTATCTTACATTTTCTCTCACATCATTTTAATATGATTATCTTTTCTCTCTCAGTTCTGATTAAATTTGTTGAAGGCCCATCTCCCACTGAGGTTTTCAATTTGGCAGTCAAGTATTCCATTTCCGTCCAATTTTTCCTACTTTGGGATTTATTTCCTTGTTTATGAATGCTTGCTCTAATATCATGATTGTGATGCTTTTTAATCTTGTTTTTCACCCAAATCAAGAATTTTCTAAAATTTTGTTGCCATCCTACAGAAAATCCATTTCAAATTTTTCCTCTCAGTCCTTCTGTATGAACTGAAGTTGTCTCTTCCCAGATCCAGTCATTTTTCTGCTTGCTCATCCTTATAAAGGGAAAGCTGGCCTTGCCACTATAATGATTAATACAAGTTGTGGCCTACATTGGCCAGGGTCTCAAACAAAATCATTCACACAAGTTAAGAGAGAAGGGATTTTATTTTTATTCTAAATTTGCTCTATCAGCACAGAGAATTAACAGCTGTGGGGAATGAAGGAGATATGGAAATAGAGACAAGCCCAGCAGTACTTTACTCTCAAGAATGAGCCCCAGACATACCCTGTCCCTCCCTTGTGGCATCTTGCTGGATGATAAACTGCTGGATGGGGCAATCTACTTCCGTAGTGATACTGCCTCGGAAACCCAAGGAGGGGTCGCTATGAGTCGGTCCGACTCGACAGCACATAACAACAACAACAACAACAACAGGCTTTTTGTACTGATGCAAGCCCTCCCAGTAGAAGCCATGTTGTAAACTTGAAACTGGTCTTTCTTTGTTTTGCTTCCTGCAGGATTGCCCGGATGATTCGTCAGGAAAGAGGAAATGCCCTACTTGTTGGAGTAGGAGGCACAGGAAAGCAATCTCTTACAAGACTTGCAGCTCATATATGTGGTTACAAATGTTTGCAGATTGAGCTGAGCCGGGGTTATAACTATGACAGTTTCCATGAAGACCTCAGGAAATTGTTCAAAATGGCTGGTGTAGATGACAAGAATATGGTTTTCCTTTTCACAGACACTCAGGTACATATAACAGTCTCTGTGTCAGGACAGATAAAGGACAGGTGTTACAATTACATGTGTGTTTTAAACAGTATGTAGGATGAGTACAAGGGATTGTTCTCTCTGATAGCCACCTGGATTTCCTGGAACTTGTAAAAGATTTTTATAATATATTTTTAATGGTTTTACCAAGAATTATTTTCTCTTTTTAAATTTTAAGTGATGAAATGTGATGAAAGGCTAAAGAGAATAAAACTTTTTTTTTTGAGGGAAAGAACATAGATAGCAGAGGGTAATAAACTGTTTCTATAGAGAGAAATATAAGAAAATGATTAGGGAAATATGAACTACCTGAGGAAAAAAATTAAAGTAAGGATTGAAATTTAAAATGAAAATGGGTTTGCATCTATGTCTATAACAACTAATTTAACTGAGCTTGAATTTATTCTGTAGTAGATGATACACATTGACTACATTTGTGTATTTTAACTTTAGGGAAAATAACCTTTCTAGAAATTAGCCAAGGAACAGAAAAGTAATAGGCTTAACCCATAAATATTTTAAGCTTCCATTTAATTATTAAAACATTGTAAATAGGATTAAATACATATATATAATGGGAAAAAATATTTTTACCATCTGTGACATGCAATGACGGAGCTCTGGTGGCATAGTGGCTAAGGCATTTGGCTGCTAACTAGAACTTCAGTGATTCAAACCCACCAGCTGCTCTATGGCAGGAAGATGAACCATCTACTTGCAATCAGGGCCACTATGAGTCAGAATTGACTCAATGCCAGTGGACCTGGTTTTTTGGTGACACACAATGAGTTTATATCCCAGCATATAAATACTTATTACAAATGGACAGGGAAAATAATAACATACCAATAAAAGACATATAACAATGTAAACCAAATCAAAACCAAACTCACTGCCATCGAGTCATTTCTCACTCATAGCGACCCCTCCTTAGGTTTCCAAGGTGGTGTCAGAAGTAGATTGGCCAGTCTTTCTTCTGAGGAATGGCTGGTGGGTTTGAACTCCAGCCTTCTGGTTAGCAGTCAAATGCCTTAGGCACTATGCCATCAGAACTCCTATATAACAATGTAATAAGATGTAAATAAAAAGTTCCTTAAAAAAGAAAAAAAAAAAAAATACTTTAAATACATGAAGAAATATTCTGCCTCACCAGTGATTAAAGAAATTTAAATAAAGAAAAATACCAGTGGTTTTGACTTTACCCATTGATCAAGCAGCCAACCCACTGGTTTCTAATTGATTCTGACTTTTAACGAATCTATAGGACAGAATAAAACTGCTTTGTAGGGTTTCCAAGGCTGTAAATATTTCCAGAAGCAGACTGCAACATCTTTCTCCCATGGAGCAGCTGGTGAGTTCTAACTGCTGATCTTTTGGTTGACAGTTGAGCACTTTAACCACTGTACCACCAGGAGTTCTTGTACAATCACAAAGATTAAAAATCATAATATGCAGTGTGGGCAAATGTGCTAGGAGACAGGCCTACTCATACTTCATTAGTAGATTAAGAGTTAGCAAAACCTTTCTGGAAATTAATTGGCAATATGTATCTGGAATGCTCCTTGGAAGCGAGAATGGCCAGACTTTTGATCTACTTTGGTCATGTTCTCAGAAAGGAACATTCCCTGGAGAAGGATAAATATCATGCTTAGTAAAGTGGAGGGTCAGTGAAAAAGGGGAATGGCCTCAATGAGATGGATATAATCTAACTGGGAAATAAAGCTATAGGCCCAAATGTAAATGAGACTGTGAATCATCTAAGTCCACATAAATGTGTGGAGCATCAACTCAGTGGCATATTATACTCCTATGAATGGTTATAAGTTTTCTACATAATTGTGGATTAATATTTATAATAAACAGTAATTAAAATGCTAGCACATATGACTTGAACCCTACAAGATATTGATACCTTCTAAGAAACAAAACAGGAAGGAAAAATAAAAACTCAGAGTACTTGCTTACTGTGTTAGAATATTAAGGTTCTAATTTTTGAGATTATCCTTTCTTACACATATGACTAACTCAATGTAAATTTTAGATTAAATATTTTTTATTTATATGTAATAAATAGAAAGTGGTGAGTGAGTTGTAATGATGATTCTGCTTTGTTCTACAGATTGTGGTGGAGGAGTTCCTAGAAGATATCAATAACATCCTGAACTCGGGTGAAGTGCCTAATTTATTTGAAAAGGATGAACTGGAGCAGGTTTTAGCTGCCACTAGACCAAAAGCAAAAGAAGTAGGAATTTCTGAAGGGAACAGAGATGAGGTAGTACATACTAAAATGGCCACATAGTTTGTAAATAGCAAATTCTTAGCCTTTTCTTTAAAAATCCACAAATTTCATTAAAGAGTCCATGGATCAGGAAGAGAAAAGGGAAGTGTGCTTAGGGAAGGCTGAGATTCTGTTAAGGGTGATGGAAAATTTTGAAAACACATGTCAATGGGTAAACAACAAGCATGACTAAGTCATTGAATTGTGTGAAGAATGTTGAAAAGGCAAACGATTCCTTACATGTATATTGACCACAATAAAAACAGCAACCCCTCCTTGGGTTTCCAAGGTAGATTGCCCAGTCTTCCTTCCGAGGAGTGGCTAGTGGATTTGAACCACAAGCCTTCTGGTTAGCAGTCAAATATCTTAGACACTACACCACTGGAGCCCCCACAATAAAATATATATATATATATATATACTTTTTTATATATATATATATATATATATATATATATATAAATTGAAGCATCTCTTACTAGTTAAAGAGATAATTGGAGGTATTTTCCATAGTAGGATACAGGCTAATACCACACAGCAAAGCAGTTTCCTGTTCTCCCTTGTTCTCTAGCATCACACAAGTACAAATCAATTCAAATTGATTAAACCAGTATGTTGGGATGGGGGTGGTCCCAGGCATCAACATTTGTAAAATGTTGATTTTAACAAGTATCCAGGGTTGAGAACCTGTGCTTTTAATGAATATACCTGACTCAGGTTAAGAATATGGTCACCCCTTTCTCCTAAACCTTATATGCTATTGAGCTTAGTTATGTGGATCTCTGAAGTAAATGTGGGATCTACCAGAACAGAATGTTAGGAATGCTATTTTCTCCTGTAAGTTCATTGTTATAGCATGAATCTTGAGATCAAACCCATTGCCCTCTAGTCGGATCTGACTCAGCGACCCATCCTTGGGTTTCTGAGGCAGTATCTCTATGGAAGTAGATTGTCCAACCTTCCTTCCGAGGAATGGCTGGTGGGTTTGAACCACCAGCATTCTGGTTAGCAGTCAAAGGCCTTAGGCACTATGCCATCAGAGCTCCCACAAATCTTGAGTGGAAATTATAAACCTGTGTTTTCTAAAGCATCAAGATAAAGTCTGAGTGACACATTGCCATTCTGCTACATTCTTCAGTCAACTGTGAGAAGTATCACCAAAAGTTCCATCTACATAAAAAAAGAGAAGTATTCCCACTGCTCTCCTTTGGTCTGCAAATTTTTCCACAGTCTAGAATCTCTTTTTAGGTTGAGCCTATTTTTTTTCTTCCTCAGAATGGAAAATGCTTCTGATCATGCTTTTTATCAAAGGTCTGGTGTAACAATGCAGCCTTACCTTTGCAGTGATCATAATATTTCAGCCCACAAAACTTGGCTACGCAGAAATCTGTTTTCCATACTGACTCTAATACCTGCCTTGAACCTCCATTCCACTTGATGGCAGTACTGATAACAAGTCAGGTCAAGGTAAATTTAGTCTATTCTGAGTTTTTCTTCCTCCCACTTTGCCCCAAGGTGGTGGGTAGTGACTGACACAACATCTGGACATGGAGGGAGTTCATCTGGTCATTGGTTGTCATCTGTCCATGCTGGCATCCTCTGCCATGTCCTTGTTCCTAGGAGTTGCCAACTGTCAGTATCTATCCCTGCTGGCATCCATAGAGGCAACTGAGTTCCCATCTGGCCTTTGGCATGAGAATAACACTGACATCTGCTCTTGGGTTCCCTCTTCCCAAAGCAAAACAATTATGAATATGCCAGAACTCCTTGAAATAATCTTGAACAGTGTGGATGCTCTCCTGGCCACTCTGACTCAGAGAACTGTCTCAGGCCATCCCTGCCCTACTCTGCTATTTCTTCAATTTGACTCTCATAAGGGAAAAGGGGGAAAGAATCTCAAACCTCTCTAACTTTACTGGGACCCCTGGGAGAAAAGGCAGACTCTGTCCTTGAGTTTACTCTATCCTCAACTCTACAGAAAGAGGCTGGGCCACAGATACTTCACAGAGACAAATAGCAGCATTTCCCTTTTCTTCTCATTCCCAGTCCACAGGATCTTTATCTAGTCAAAAAAAAAAAAAAAAACTCACTGCCGTTGAGTAGATTCAACTCATAGTGACCCCTCCTTGGGTTTCCAAGGCAGTATCACTAAAGAAGTAGATTGCCCAACCTTCCTTCCAAGGAGTGTGGCTGGTGGATCAACCTTCTAGTTAGCAGTCAAGTACCTTAGGTACTACTCCACCAGAGGTTCCTATTCAAACCAAAATCAAACTCACTGCTGTCAAGTCAGATCCAACTCATAGTGACCCAACTTTGGGTTTCCAAGGCAGTATCACTATGGAAGTAGATTGCCCAACCTTCCTTCCAAGGAGTGGCTGGTGGGTTTGAGCACCGGCCTTCTGGTTAGCAGTCAAATGCCTTAGGCACTACACAATCAGAGCTCCTCTCTAGTCAAAGTAGGCTGGAAAAATGCTGGCTCTATGGGGATAGAGTAGAGGCAAAAAACATGAATCCTTTAGTATATGTTAATTAAACTAAATACATTGATACATCAAATCTATTGAAAATACATTCATATTTCAAAAAATATATGATTCTATCACACTTTCAAGTGAGAAAGTCTGCCTTCAATTCACTCATTATCATCAAGGCTAGAAAAGTTGCACTAAAAATTATATACAACAAAACAGAGTCTTTCTTCTAATAGTGGGAACATCAACATTTATTTTCTTCTCTTATATCACTTTTTGTGTATTTTTCAAATTTTTACTGTGAAGTTTTTTTTTGCTTTATGTTTCTATGATAAAAAACATTTGGAAAGGAGTTCCGGTAAGATGGCAAAATAGGCAGAAAAACTGCACAGACCCTATTCAACAAAGAAAAGGGGAACCAATTAACACAGATACAGAAGATAATCCTGGACCCCCGAGCTTTGAAGGGAAGAATATGGAAGAGGACTAAACTCCAACTAGTAAAAGAATTTGTATGAAAACACCAAAAAAGGAGACATACAGAGCTACAGTCAGGCAGCGATCCTGATGGCACAGACAGCTTGGATATTGCAGAGTGGTGGAAGGACCTAAGAGTTAACCTACAAATCAGCCCTGCTAGCCAGGGACTTCACAGAGAACTGCTCTGGTGGCTGGTGAATAAAAGGGAAACCATGGAAGAGGATGGCAGGTTGAGCTGTGGACTTTTGCCTGCCTGGAGGGTACAGCCATTTTGAATGTTTACAAGTGGTTTGACCATTTTGGATATTTAAAGCAACAGCATTCTCCCAGATTCCAGGGACTTAAGAAGAGGCTCTACTTGCCAGGAACCACAAAGACATTCCAGATGCCCACGACTGGAAAGGTGTGACATTCCCTTTGTTACTCATATACCCCACACCTTCTTGGTGAATGGAGGTGCAGCCATCCCTCACTCCCACCCACCTTCTAGGCCGGCAGGAATTACATCCCACTTTGTATGCTCGGACTGAGCCCACCCTGCCCCAATTATTTCTTTCCCATTTTGTTTGTTTTTGTCTGTTTTGAAACAACTATAATTATTATTACTTTTGTCCTTTTTATCATTTTTCTTTATTCTTTCTTTCCCAGGTTCTAATTTTCACCTTTTTCTCTTTTCCTTGTTCCTGGTTCCAATTTCTTTTTTCTTTCTCATGGTTAAACCCATTCCTTGTTCTGTTTCTGCGTTCTTTCCATTTTTTTCTTCATTATTCTCCTTCTCTATCTTTTTTCTCTTATTGCCATCTCCCCAGATATTGCAGTACCTTTTTTCTTTCCCTTATTTCTTTTTCTTTTCTTTTTTTTTTTTTTTT